ATAGTATTCTATATTGCTCATATTTGTGTCATTGCATTGTTGGAATTGAAAGTTTTTGTAAAATTGTGTACTTCAGAAGAGGATGATACTTTATCGTCGTTGGTAAATGAATGTGCACAATCTTTAACAAGCTGACATTAGCTATTTATTAACATTACAAGGTTTGCAGACTAAAATGATATAGATAAGAATGAGTCTGTTATATCGTTTTTGTGGCTAATATTTCGCGTTACGGTTAAATTATAAGATTGGATATAGTATCCCAAAAATAAAGCGTAGTTTATAAAGAATGGCCGTCTTTATATTTTCTATCTAATTTTTTTGTTTTCAGCCGTAAAAACCTCAACTTTTTTAACAAAAATTTACCATTAAATTCTCTACAAGAGTATATTAAAAGATTCTGAATGAAATGTGAAAAAGTAAAATTATGAGTAAAATATCGCAAAGCTCGACTGCTCAATTTTCTCAACGTTTTTTTAATATTTCTCAAGGCATGAAAGTGCATCCGAGAAAAGTATTTTGTAGTTTGAAGTGTTCTCTTTCTCGTCGTATACACCAGAGTCCAAAATGAATCAAGAGATCCTGATTTAGTTCGATTCGATTCCGGACAACATTTTCAAACACTGAGTCGGGTCGACTCGATTCGGGCCAGTTCAATGAAAATTAAAGTTTGCTTCTCTTTTTTTTCAAAACGTTTGTTTAAAATATACTGCCTCGAGTTTGAACACTTAGCAGAACATACCATTTAGGTGACTAGAACTTTGAAACATGAAATAAAATAAAACAAAGAAGAAGAAGAATATAAACAAGAAATGTCTTGTTCGCATGGTTAGTCTTTCCATTTATTATTTTCAATCGAACATAAAAATAATATGTTGTTAATACTCGATGGATCTAAGCTTAACAACTGGACCAGCGGCACTGAATTCTCATTCAACCACAGCTGAGCTAGAAGGAACTGAAAAGATCTCAACATTAATGATCAAAAAATAAGCGAATGTCGATTATGTGCGACATCCATTCTGGTGCTCTCAAAAATTCTATCTTTGAAAATGAATTTGATTAGATATCTCAATAACTCGCTAAAAGATATTATATGTTTCTTTTTCTCATGTGATTATATGTTTCAGAGCGTTATAACAGAAAAAAGGACAAAAATTTATTACATGGTGCTTTTGTTACTTTATAGGATGTCATTGTAGCTTAGCTTGACCAAAGCGCTTTAATTGAACGGTTGATTCATGTTTCAAAAATCAAATTCAGTTCGGTTCAATTCGACTCCATGTTTCAAAGATCGAATTCGGTTCGGTTAGGCAAGCAGCCGAATGGAATTAAATGTCGAATTATTTGATTCATTTTGGGCTCTGGTATACACTAGAGTTTGTTGATACCAAGCGTTACATCTCAAAGATTGTTTTCAAACTAGATCAAAAACAGCTGAAATTGAGCTCTTTTTTCAAGGTTAAAATACTTACATGTGATCGAATAATTTAACTTTTTCAAATAGCTCGAAAAAACTACCGAACGAAAACAATAATTTTTTCGAAAAGCGGGGAAAACATAAAAGTTTTTTGTACCACAAATGGTGATGTTGAAAGATAAAAAGGTGTTTTGGTTTAAAATCTCGACCTATGCCCAGATACCTCTTTTTTTAGAATGATCTGCGACTCACCTTGTGAGCAGGAGATTATTTGTGTTTTGGGTTGAATACAATTCTGTTGATTCTATAATAATCCAAGCGAAAACATTTGTGTAAATGGGATTACGATGACTCGACAACAACTACCTTCTAAATGTATTTAAAACGTTTTATTTGTATTTCATATGACGCATGGACGCCATGCTGATTATTAAGTAGCATACTATTGACGGCTTCATATAAAAATCATATAAATCACAATCGAACACAAACTTTATTGAAAAAATCGAGCATTTATCTCATTTTAATATTACAATATGAGGTAAGTGATACATGAAATGCTTGTCCTGTTCATTGTACTATTTGATTCATTGAATTTTTGAAAAAAACATTTTCCTGTATATACAATCTATGTAGACATGTACCAGTTATATAACTGTAACAAAGTGTCTAGAAAAATTGTTATGAAACAGTTATTAAGAGTCGTACCGAGCTGCGGAACGAGTCATTTTGAGCTTAAACGCAATTGTGACACAAATATGAGCAATATAGAATACTATAACTGTGCATGATAACTGATCACCAGTTATATAACTATTCGTATCTCTTCAGTAATTCAGTAAAAAAGCTTCTCTCTGTTATCCTTTAATTCTGGGTTCGGTACACATGGATAGATGAAATATTCCTCTAGAATATGAGACGGTTGGAAAATCGGGAGAATTCTCAGAATCGCATCATAACAATTTTCTTAGGCATCCCAAAAAACAGTCAAAAATAACTGGTTCAGAACCGATACACACTTACATCTAGCATAATTTTTTGTTATATAAACGACGATTTTTCGCGCTAACAACTTTCGAATAATCTGTGAAATATTTTGCCGTTATTATACTTAAAAAGTGGTTACAGTTTCAACAGCATTTGTTGTTTTGGTAGTAATTATTCTTCCATTATAATTGTATAATGATATTTTCTATTGTGTTTCGTTCAGAGACGGATTGGGCCTCGATCCCGAACGTTCAAATTTAACATCACGAACAAGTACTCGAAGCGCAAGACATTTCGACTTTTTAAATCCAAATCATAGTGTCTTTTCACGACAAAGTTATTATTCGGACCAAGAGAGATTCCATCCGTGGACACGTTTTCCATGTTCTAGATGGAGCGGAATTTCTTTTGCGACTCTGCGTGCATCACCCACTGACAGAACTGGAGAACTTGCCAAACCAAGAATTAAGCGAGAATACAGAATTAAACAAGGTAAACATATGGACTATTTCTTCATGTCATTTTATGGAATTACTTCGCTCGCTTCATACTATCCTCTTTGTGATTTTTCTTTTAGAGTTTTTTGATAATGTCTTAAACTATAGTTATAGTGGAGTGAAAAAGCCTGCACTAAAGGCAACATGTTCAGATCGCATTTGCAAACTATCTGTTCCAAAACTAATATCAGCAGAATATTTAGATGCAAAACCATTACCCGCGCCCGTACCACAATCTGCTTTAAGAGTAAAATCGACAAGTCGTATTCAAGAATTAGCACGTCCGAAATACGATATAGCAACGTTTGGAATGAAATAGGTGTTTTTGGAACGACGAACAATTGATCAAACGAATATTAGCATGCTTTCATATAAACATTTCAGCAGTCTGTGTTGGACTATTGTTTTGTTCAATCTTGTTTTTAGTATAATTATAACTATGCAAGAACCGTAAATATTATTTTAATAAAAGTTTACTTATCCATTTATTTTTCTCATAAACTTCAATTAATGAACAAAAATTTTCAGCTCTATTTGCCAAATATCCTAGGACGCCGAAAACGGTGTAATTAATTGTCTATAAAACATCCATTAATAACCCATTCAATATTTGTTGAATGGACATTTTTAGATTATTGAGACAACTTTTGACCGCTTTTAAATATTTAGGAGACGTTCCATGAGTGAATCGAGAGGCTGTGAGCAGGCCTGTCAATCGCGAAAAATAGATTCTGCTAAAAGTTACATCATTCGATTCAGTATGAAAAACTGTGGTGATGAAGCCTTTTATAGCCTTATAAGTCATTTTGCTTTGGAGAAAATCAAGTTTTCCCAAGACCAAAGCTCAAAAATCCGAAAATTGACCAATTTTAGTTTTTTATGTATAAAACCGTCAGTTTTCTTTCGATTTTTTTTTGAATGATATTTCATTCGAAAGGGCGCACAAAACTGAACAAAATTTGATATTTAAAAAAGTTTTAAAGTTAAAATAGTAGTCGCAAGAAAAATTTACTAAAATTTTAAGGTTTTAAAAAACTGATGCTTTTGTGGAAAAACCTGAATATTTTAAGCAACCAAACGGAAATGCATAATACAGTTTTGATAGTTTAATAGATCAGACAATCCTGCACCTGATACATTGTTTAAAAATGACAAAATCGATGCGGCTCGGGATCAAAATGGTCCCACAGTAGCCAGAGCTGGAAATGACCAAAACATAGAAAATGCTCTAAACAATTGTTTTTCGTCGTCAAACTATTTCCAATCGATTTTTCAGTCAACATTGAGTATAGAAAAACCTTTTCCTCCTTCAATAAGTTTTTTTTCTATCAGAACATCAAATTTGTTCCAAAAAACTTGCAGAAAAGTCGACAAAATCGCCATTTTTTAGTCTTTTACAAACCAAATCGACAATTTTCATTTGAAATGTTTGATCAACGTTTCATTCGAAAGAGCATAAAAACTGAACAATATCTCATACTCAGAAAATTTTTGGATTCAAAACAGTAGCCAGAATAATGGATTTTCGCAAAGTAATATTATAGTTGGGGTGCTTCCACACAGCTTCGCCCACTTTATACTTTTTGAAAAGTCGCCAAGAAATAATGTAGTAGGTCTTGTAAAACTCACCCAGTTGTGTATATCTATGTATTTGTTTTTTAAAAAATCCTGTGGAACATGGTTTTTGGAGACCATCAAAAGTCGAGAAATGACGAATCTGCCCAAAATCAAGCGCGTATTTGGCCATTTTCTCCATCAAAATTTAATTTTTGACAAAACCAAGGTCATATTCGGAATCAGCATTGAAAAATGAATCGAACGATATATATTTCAAAGATTTTCTACTCAAAAAAAGTTTTTTGAAATTGTTCCCCGCGAAACCAGGTGGAAAATTTCGCCAAAAAACTCTTAAAAAAGTAGCTAATGTCGGCTTGTTAAAGATTGTGCACATTCATTTACCAACGACGATAAAGTATCATCCTCTTCTGAAGTACACAATTTTACAAAAACTTTCAATTCCAACAATGCAATGACACACACACACACATAGAAATATTTACTCTCGTCGATTGTTTTCCTTCCAGATCGTCTGGAGGATATGAAGTTTTCCTCTTTTTATCCTAAAGTCTATTTATAATAAGATATTGCCATCATTCCTTTTTCTTTTTTATTCCTTAATCTCACCCTATTTATATTTCCGGTATAGATAGATAAGTACGTTAAGCGAAAAAATTTATGTCCTTGGCTATATTTCTATTTTTGTGGATCACGAACGCGAAACGATTGTCGTTTTTAAGTTAACAAAAAAAAAAAGAAAAAAAAAGAACAAAAAAATGAATTTCTTATATTTAGATCTGCGCGTTACTCTCTAATTCTATTAGATTAGAGAGAATAAGGAAACAACGAGCATATTTATGTTGCATAGATAATCTTTCTCATTCAAAAATAAAAACTAAAGTATAGAGAGTTGATGTTTTCTGTTCATCTTTTAAAAATGAAGATAAGAGATTCTTCTTTTTCCGAGATTTATTGAACTGTCAACGATGAGTTAAACCTAATGTGAAAGTTGCAGTTAATGGGAGGTACGTGGAGAGATCATAGACGGTTCTCACCAAAAAAGAAAACTACTACTTTTTCTGTTCTAAATGAACAGTGCGAAAGAAACAAAATCTAACATCAGGCATTTCTCCACCAGAACAGGTATAATTGAATCAAATCAAAAGTGTTCTTTATTCTATTCCGTTTTAGAATGATCATTAAGTCATGGATGAACATTTGAATTTTTTAACATATTAATTTGAAAAAATAGTTGTGTTAAATAGATTGATCGAATGTGCAGATATGTCTTTAATGTGTTCTACTTCTTGTTTCTTCTCTTAATCATAAACCACGTTTTCTATTGTCAAAAAACAGTTCGAATCGGCGTCATTGTACCATCATTGGGGTATACCCATACATATTCAAAATTGCTATCATTTGTTTCTTCATTACCAACAATGAATTCATCGTCGATCGATAATCTGTTTATTACCACTAGTTATAATGATGATTTACATAAAAATATAAAAAAAGTAAATAATACAAAAATACGATCGTCAACATCGATTTTCGATGATAATTTAGAATCAATGTCAACAATTAATATAACAGTTGAAAATTTAACATATTGTAATTCTAATCAACAATGGATTCGATTAGAAATAAAATATATTTTGTTTATCGATTTATATCAATTTATTGAACAACTTGATTCACAAACAAGTGCTTACATTAGTTACGCACAAGATGTTAATATATTGTACAGTTACTGTCAATACCATAGAATACCATTAATTAGTTTACGAAAAGATTTAACATTAAATCAAGATATGTGCTTAAATGCATATAGGTAAGTTAAGTATGAATCAGTAAATCTACTTTTGTCAAAAGTTTTGCGAATTCGAATTATGTTAATTTAAAACAATAGAATATTTAAGTGCAAAAACTGATTCTCTGCATATAAAGCAACTAATCGGATAAAATTCTTCTTACTTTCCATTTTAATCAACTAATAAAACTGAGAAAAAAAACTAAGCAACTGTATACTGTTTAGATCGAGCGTACCTGATTATTATCAAACGAGTAAAAAATCAATATATTCATTAATCGGTGTTAATACTAATGATAATATAACAAATACTTACTTTAATTTAATACCAGATTTAACGCAAATAATAATGAGTTATTTAAAACATCATCATGTGCAACAGGCAGCATATGTATATGATAATCATGAAGCATCGCAACGTCTTTATAGACTTTTGAAATTGTACTCATATGATAATTCTTTTTATAATTTTACATTTGATGTACGATCAATTGCAAATAGTGACGATGCCTATGCTTTATTGTACAGTATCGAACAACACTACCGGACCAAAGATCAAAAACGATATATTTTACTTGATTTATCATCTAATCAAAGTTATATGAATATGTTTGATAAAATATCTCATATGGGTTAGTACGTTGATGTGAATAATTAAAAAGTTTTGTTAACTTTTGTCATATCTTAGTATAATTCATTTTAGGTATGACAGGTGACTCATATCATTATATATTAATGTCAACATTTGATGCTTGTTCATGGCTTCAAGATATTAATTTTTCTGGTTCAATCACATATTTTGATTATCATTATAACGGATCGAAACAAGAATGTACGACAAAATCAGCGAAATTTATTGGTAAGCAACAATACAACATTCGTATTAAACGTAATGAACCGCAGCAACGTTATTATTATCATTCATCACTGGGTTTTCGTAATAATGATAATCCATCATCAATTCAAACTGAACAACAAAATGAAACGATTGAGTTAGATGAAAGTTTATGTGAACAACGTATAAAATACAATAATAATCTACAAAACGATACATTACATAAAAAATTAACAATTATAAGTGATCTATTGCCAGAAAAATTTGATAAACGTTTTTTACATGATGCTATTAAATATTTAATTGTATCCTTTGAATCTTTGAAAGATTGTTCAGCAAATATTATTACGGGACCGATGCTATTAGATATAATCAATAATAAAAGTGATATCTTTTACAAAGGTGATACCAGTGATGTACACATCAATAAATGTGGACAACGACATTTAAATATTATCGATGCTCATATCACTCGTTCATTAGCAATTAATGAAAGACAAACAACTCATATCGGCCAATATAATGAGGAAAATGGTTATAAATCATGTGATTATCATAAAAAGAAGTTGGTTGAATCAAGTTATTTTAAACATACAACGTATTACATCACAAGTTTATTCGATGAACCATTTTTGATGTTGAGAAAAAAAAGTGAACATTATTCAAAATATAGTAAAATACCCTTAAAACAATTACAAGGACGAATATTTGATATGAATGAATTGGAAGGTATAGTACTAATTCTATTGTATCACATTATCATTTTTTATCCTACATTACATACACACAACGTTCTGAATGATTAATATTTATTTCAGGTTATTGTGTAGATCTTGCTGATAAAATCTGCTCGACTTTAAATATAACGTGTAAATTTCGTATTGTTCACGACGGTAATTTTGGCTCGAAAAACGGGAGTACAGGTCTATGGAATGGTAGGTGTCTATTCATCTATTTTGTGTTTATTAACTATATATTTATTGTTTTTCTAGGTATGATTGGAGAACTCGTATCGCGGTAAGTACACGGATAATTAGTATACAATTTCTACTATAAACTCATTCATCTTTAGTACCGCTGATATGGCCATTGCTCCGTTAACAATCAGTCAAAAACGTATGGAAGTTGTGGATTTTAGCAAGCCATTTATGAATCTTGGTAAGCTAACAAAAATCTTACGTATTCATCAGCAAAACTGGTACTTGATTTTTCTTTCAGGAATATCGATAATGGTATGATATAATTAACAGTAATCTTAGATGAGAGATGAAAAGTATGTCTATATTGTTTGTTATTTAGATAAGAAAACCGGATGCTGAAAAGCCAGGCGTATTCTCGTTTATGAATCCCGTATCGATGGAAGTCTGGTTATGTTTTTCTCTCGCTTATTTTGCCATATCGGTGATATTATTTTTAACTAGTCGCGTTGTTCATTCGGGATGGCGACGAAGAATTGTACGAACACCATCTTATCGTCAATATCATTATCCTAAAAGTATCCATGATCGGCGAAAAAGTGAAGTATTAATAGAAAGACAGCTAGACCGCTCTGATAGTGATACTGTTGCTGATTCACAATCGCAACAACAACGACCATCACGTCGATTGTCATCGGCTTCCAACCGTCGAAATCGATATCAGCGAAGTCAGCATCAACATGAGTCTGAACATCAGAATCGATATGGCCGCTTTTTAGCTGTTCCTAGTGGTTATACCCCCACTACTAGTCGTAATTCAAATAGTGGTTATCGAAATAAAAATAAAACGAATACATCATCGCCATCAAAGGACCACATTCATTTGTTTGGTATATCAAATGCTCTATTTTTTTCATTTGCATCATTCATGCGTCAAAGCATTAATCTTGTCCCAAAATCACTTTCTGGTAGAATAGCAGCAACATCATGGTGCGTCAAATGTCAAGTAATTATATTCACATAACTGCATTTTATTTTTCTAGGTGGTATTTTTCACTAATCTTTGTTTCATCGTATACTGCCAATCTAGTGGCATTTCTTACTGTAGAGAAACTTGTTCCACCTATTGAAATTGTAGAAGATTTAGGTAACATAACAGGTGTTGCAGTTTTCCACACTAACGGAATTAATTTTATCTACGCTTTAGCCAAACAAGATGAAATAAAATATGGTTCTCTTCGAAATGGCACAACCTCTGCTTTTTTCGAAAACAGTAACGCCACTGTATTCCAAAATATGTGGCAGTTTATGCAACGTCATTCAGCTGAAGTATTTGTTCAATCAAATGATGAAGGTGTAGCAAAAGTACGAAGTTCAAATGGAAAATATGCATTTTTTATTGAGTAAGTTAAATGTATTATACTGTCAACATGATGTAAACTTAAAATTGATTACAGATCAACAAAAAATGAATATGTCAACGAACGTTTACCATGCAATACAATGAAAGTTGGTAGTGATCTTGATTCAAAAGGATATGGTATTGCAACATCAATGGGATCAGATCTGAGAGAAGCAATCAACATCATTGTAACAGAATTGAGAGAAAAAGGCTTCTTAGAAAATTTAAAACAGCAGTGGTGGTATGTAGTGTGTTAGGCTTAAAAGTTTTTATTCAAAATTAATGGATTTTCGTCAAAAGTTTTTCGTTCCACAATAGTGTCGGCAGACACGAAGATACTAGATACTAGGAAGCAACTAATATACTAAGCTTGCCAATTTCTAGCATGCTGAGCTCTATATTTTAACCCATATCAGAGTTGGATCATTAAATACAACACGTATATGTCATTGATTGTTTAGGTACGAAAGATCGGAATGTTCAACAGTTTCAAAAGATAAACGATTTAGTAAATTAAGTTTATCGAGTGTTACCGGTTTATTTTATATATTTTTGTTTGGTGTCATACTGTCGTGTGTTATTGCATTCACCGAATTCATTTTGACAGCAAAAGCCGAATCAGAAACATTAAAAATTGATTTTCGAGAAATGTTAAAAATAAAAATGGTAGAAAATCTTATTGGCCTCACGGCTCATACCCAACGACAATTAGAATTTGGAAAAATACAAGACGAATGTACTTATGACTATGATGATCGTGGAGAACGTTCAGAACCGGATTCTAGAGTTGTTATACAGCGTTACGCAGAATATAAACTAAATAAACCGCAAAGCGAAGTATGAATAAATTGTCAATCTATCATTCATTTTTTAATGTTTAGCTGCATGTCTTCTACATTGTTTGTATGAGTGAATCTTTCATAAACAGTCTGTAAAAAAGAGACACATACTAAGATGGCACTCGTGTGAGTGACTACTGATAAAAAAGCAACAGTTACCACCACGCGTTTTAAACCCGTCTCAAAAAGAAGATCGGAATCATACAACATTAAGAACAAAGTGATTTAAGTGATTTAAACATTAAGAAAGCGATTGGTCTCGTACATAGTCCTGACTTATGAACACAATTCTTTTATATCTCCTTGAATGAATGAATGAATTAAACGGAGAATATGTTTAAAAGGAACGCACGAAGAATAAAGCTTATACCAAGCAATGCGTCAAAAACTAACGATATCGTGGAGAAAACACGAGTGAAAATTCAATACTTTTGGTGTATACGTACTTTTATCTCGTCGTTCGAATAGTGATAAATTGTTGAGAAACTTTGGTCTGATCCAAAGCCTATCTATAGTTGGTTGATTATTCCTATTCATCGTGCTTCGACACTTACTCTGAAAGTAGAGAAAAAGTATGCTCCTATACTTCGTTAATCTTGCGACTTATTTGGTTTCGAAGATCAAGCGTAAAATGAAACCTGTAATTGACTTTTGTTGTGGAGCAGTTTATAGTGTACAAGTAACGTTTGTCTTGCGACGCACTAGTCCCTTGACTGATGGAGTATGAAAAATACTTCGCACGTCAGATTTACAGCACGGGAGTGGATTATTTCTTGTTTCTATTTAAACCAAGGGGGAAATAGCGGACTCCTGGACTGCTATGGACTCCTTTGGACTCCTATGGACTCCTGGACTCCTGAAGTCCAGGAGTCCAAGAGCAAAGTGTTCTTTTTTGGGAATCACTTCCCAAAAAAGAACAAAAGTGTTCCTTTTTGGGGAGTGATTCCCACAAGAGAACACTTTGTTCTTGGACTCCTGGACTTCAGGAGTCCAGGAGTCCTAGGAGTCCATAGGAGTCCAGGAGTCCAGGAGTCCGCTATTTCCCCCTTGATTTAAACACACACCGTTGCTTAGGTTAGTTAATACGGCGGATCAGGTAGAGAATGCCAATACAGAAGTTGTGAAGTTAGTGTCAGAAAGCAAGAGCAATCTGAACGAATATAGCGTTAACAAAAAAGACTAGCGCTTTTTAAAATATAGAACAAATTAGAAAATAAACAAACATTTTTAATACACAAGAAAAAGCCCATATGTAAATATAATTCAATAATTTCCTTTTTCTATCGAACAAGAATATCTTTTTTCATCCATAATTTAATGTACAAGCTATTTTTCGTATAAATAGATTTGTTTTCCCCTTAATCAATCAGTCCTGATATATCGATGTAGTAGAGCTGATAGCATCATAGATCTTATTCCCTATCTAACATCAAAAAGTAAAACTTAAAACCATAAGAAATATACTCTCTCTCCCATACACAGTTTGCTCGTACACAGTAACTTTGTTTCACTAATTCGAACACAAAAGCAGAAATAGCCTCTCAATGCAATCCGCACAATGTATCTACTAAATGTACGATCCGTGCAAAAGCCTTTTGTGTGTCTTTCAGATGTCTTTCGTCTGAAAATAGGTAGACAGAACAACGATCAGTGGAAGACGTCTTTATCTCAGAATACATAACCAAACTGTTTAATAAACGCTTTTCGCAGACGATACCTGCTGGGAGACACCTTTTTCTTTAGAGTGTAAGATATCAAGTACAACCTCGTACATATTTACCGACCTATTCGAATTTATACAATTTAAAATTTATCAGTGAAATCGATGTGTTTTTAGAATATGAACATGATGATAGATTTGCAACGCTAAAGATTAATGATATCCTACCGGAAGAGCGGTGCTAAGAAAACCAAATACATTTCACATAAATTATTACAATATTATTTAAAAAGCATTGCCAATTTAACAGTATTAGCAGCCAATTTAACCCTTTTTTACCCTCTTCGAAACCGGGGAAGCCGATATCGGGTCAGGTTGAAATTTATGGCAGAGATAGAACATCGATAGACAATCGGTGTATTTTTGCCCAGAATTTGCTGCCATGTTCTTCTATGGTTCTATGGGTTTTCTGGAAAACTCCAGTTTTCATCAGCTCACATTACGACCCCTCGTAAAAATGGTCCGATCGAGCTTAAAATTTTACCACAGATACTCCAGACCCTATCTCAGGTTCGGTTTTATTCTTTTCGAAAAATATGCTTTTCTTCTCGAGATATCCGAAAAATGCTGAAAGTCACGCAAAAAGTCAGTTTTTTGATTTTCAGCATCGAGCTGATTAAAACTGGAGTTTTCCAGAAAACCCATAGAAGAACATGGCAGAAAATTCTAGGCAAAAATACACTGACTTTCTTTTTCGATGTTCTATCTGTGATAAATTTCAATCCGATCCGAAATCGGCTTCCCCGGTTTCCAAAACGGTCAAAAAAGGGGATGGGTACCCTTAAGAAATTTCCAACAACAACCACAGGGTAATCATCTGATTTTTTCATCTAAGATTGCTAGATTTATATTCTATAGAGTTTCTGCATCAACCATCTGTTCAATGTATTAAAATTTCGATTGAATTGTAATATTTGTATTTTTTGTCAGCAATATACTATTAAAAACTATAAACTCCTTCAGTTATTATTTGACTCTTCGTTCTCGTAGCTGTGCATTTTTACAAAATCGATCTAATTCACAGCAGTTGAAAATTCCTGCTGAATTAATGTTTCGAAATCATCATTACATCTTATCTATTCTATCATTGCCTCGTGCATGTTTTCTCTTTTTTAACAACCATTTGTCTTTTTCTTGAGTCGAACGTTTAACAACATGTTCAATCAAAGCCATTATAGGCTCCATTGTGTTACATTTTTTCGAAAATTCTTGTATAGATATTAATGTCTGTTTCTTGAATCGAACGTTTACATTTTTCTTGCGACAAGATTTTGGACTAGAGATAGGCACGGAACTTTTTTCGGGATCAGAAAAACCACTTATAACTCAACTATTTGAAAAGGTACAATTTTTCTGCATCATACTTTTTTACGATGCAGTGTAGATCACTTGACTTTTAGAGCGAGTCCAGTAATACTTGTTTGATCTGCACAAGGCTGCTTACATCGATCCAAGAAATACTTCTCAGTTGCAGTCTACACGATATTTCATATAATTTCACTGGAATCTTTAAAAGTTTATTTAAAGTGTTTTATGTTTTGTTGTACATGTGGCTAGAGGCTAATAGAGCCGGATTTTTGATATTTTTCTTTCCAAATTAATGATCAGCGTCAAAAGTCTAAAATTCGAAAGAGTTTCATTAACTTTGGTAAAGATGTTTTTCTAATCACAAAGCTAGACCGAATATCAAAAATCGGACTCTATTAACCTCTAGCCAAATGTGTCAGCTTCAATTTAAGACCTTCCCGCGCTCTCTGCGCTGTTTCATTACCGAGAAATCTTGGAGCTGCGAAATGGTGTTAAGGTGAAAGCAGCTTTCGAGATATGGTGGTGCCAGTGCATGTTTTAGGGCTTTCAGCAAAACTCTTGATTAGAACATCTCTCAGAGCTCGGAAATATCTCATTCTGATCAGAAATGTTTGCTCTATTTCCTGATGTTATTAAAAGTAGCTTTTGATTTGCTTTTTAATCGAGAAGTAAAACTTTTTCGAAACTCAGCCTTAATCGCTGTGTATTTTTTTGATTATCTGTAGCTGACGTCACTCAAAATCATATTAAATGGTCTTGATGCCAAGCGTGATACAAAAGATGTATGATTTCGACTCTTTTCACATTAGAAGATTAAAGAATAATCGTCTTAACGAGATGGAAAAACATTCTTCTTTAATTAAACGAAAATAAAGAATCGCAGAACTGGTCACATTCTATTTTAAACGAGAGCAACAGTTTATCTCCCTTATTGCTGGATTGATCGTGCTCGGTCTCTCACAGACGAATGATCATTCAAAAGGAAAAAATTCTCAGAACTAAGTCCTAAGATATCTATGTATAGTCAGTTGGTGCTACGTTGACTTGAATTTGTCATATTAATTAAATATTTAAAAATATTAACTCCTAGTTTATATTCGCTTATCAAAGTTTTATTAGATTGATTAATTGTTTGATTAATAATTATAATTGGCGGTAATCGTTTTGTTCTTAAAATCTCTAAATATTCCCATTGTATATTCTTCACCAAGTGCATGTTTTTTAGCAGAAACAATCGTCAAAATATTTTTTTCTGTTTTAATTGAGCTGAGTTGTGTGTTATTACGAGTGCAGAAGTCATACCTGTTAATTTATAAACACAAATTGTCTGTTACATGTGAACTATGTATTTATTTTCCCGAATGTCTAATGGCCGTCATGGATTGCGTTTGAGACCCGAACAACAAAGTCCCTCATCATTAGATGAAATCATTGCCAAAGAATTAGCAGCAAAAATTATTGTCTCACCACTGAAAATTGTTGCAATCGATTTTGATAATACGCTAATTGATGAGGATAGCGGTTCATGGATGTCTCATCGAAATACGTATATTAGAAATCAATTTTATTGGCTTATTCCTCATATTTTACATAAAAAATGGATTTGTATAGCGAGTTTCAATCAAAACACTCCACATCCAAGCAATGAGAATCTCGGTTAGGAAAGACTGACTTTATGGCAATAGAGAAGCACTTGCATTTACAACTGGTCATTCTATGTGTTTTTTTGTATAATCATAAAATTTGTTTTTGATTTTCTTCTTACAGGCATTGTAACTCAAACAGTTGTACGACGCCTATTGAAACTTACAGATCGAAATTTGAATAAACAAACTATTCACTACCGTTTGGCAACAGAGTATAAGATTATTATAGAGGCTTATCCAGGTACAGTTCTATCTTCAATTGTATACAGTTACGTGATAGATTATTCTAAATTGTTAGGAAGACAATATGGAAAATTTGAACATTTAGAAAGTGCAATTGTTAAAATTAAACATTATTCAACAACACCCGTTAGCATTGAGCCATTTCATGTCGCTCTCTTTGATGATCATCCAAGGAATATAACAGTTGCTAAACAAATATTTCCTGCTGCATTAATATCTATACAAGAATTTTCGAAAAAATGTAACACAATGGAGCCTATAATGGCTTTGATTGAACATGTTGTTAAACGTTCGACTCAAGAAAAAGACAAATGGTTGTTAAAAAAGAGAAAACATGCACGAGGCAATGATAGAATAGATAAGATGTAATGATGATTTCGAAACATTAATTCAGCAGGAATTTTCAACTGCTGTGAATTAGATCGATTTTGTAAAAATGCACAGCTACGAGAACGAAGAGTCAAATAATAACTGAAGGAGTTTATAGTTTTTAATAGTATATTGCTGACAAAAAATACAAATATTACAATTCAATCGAAATTTTAATACATTGAACAGATGGTTGATGCAGAAACTCTATAGAATATAAATCTAGCAATCTTAGATGAAAAAATGAGATTTCGGACTTTTTAATGATGATGTTGTCGAGCTAACACTTCTAGTTCAGGGAGAACGCTCCATTTTGACAATTAATCTGAAAGAGCGAAAGAAAGAAAACAGCCGATTAAAATCTTTATTAAATATCTATATTGAACGTTTTTCACAAAAATCGAGATAAGACCCCTTACAGGAATTACTGCTTTAATCGGTCCAAATTTGTCTTTTGAGGTCGGTTTCCCACACACTAAAGTTGCGATGAATACAAATGAATAACTTTCAACGGCGTGAAAAACCTTTGAGAAAAAGCAAACGTAGAGTAACGGCCGGGAAAATTCTATTTTGCTCGCAGAAACTGTTTTAAAACTAGTGCTTTTAATATTATTAGGTCTCAGTTTTTTTCTCACACAACTAGATAGGCAAACTCTAGCTGCAACTAGGCACTGGCACATTTCAACACAGTTATCAAAGTTACTGGAACAAATAAAAAAGAACTTCTATAATCCAACCAACCAACCAACCGTAACCTAATATTTCGTAGCGCTATGAGCTTTAGCAATTACCCTTGTCCGGATATTCTCGACGAATGCTCTCTAACTTAAATGCAATTATAGACAGAAAGAAACATTACACATAAACAAATTAATTTTATGAGTATTGTAATATCTATTGGAATCTTTTATATGAGAGAAAAATGGGCATTGATCAATCTCCAATGTCAGGAGAATATGCTTCTTTTTAAGAACTTTTCTAGTTTTCATAGTTCTCTAGATCACGAGGTGCACATTTGGCCTAAAATAGGGAAAGAAAGAAAGGAAGAAGAACATAAAAACACAATGCGTGTCGACATACAAAACTGAAATCTCAGCAAAAACACATATTGCCTGTCAACATAAAAACTTACTGCCTTTCCATTTCAGCCAAGTGCAAAATCACAAAAATACATGACCGAGTAGACATGCAACAGCGTAACGCGACCACTTCAGTATAAGCCACGAAACCAACCGCATATTACTGAACATAAAAGCAAGCGCCAAAATAACAACAAAAACAAGTCACTTCTCCATCACCCAATATACTCATCGAAACTACAGCTGAACCAACTATTCATACATCCAACACACTCAGCATTGCTGGTTTTAACATTGCTTCTTCAGAAGTACTCAGCAAGTACCGATCAGAACCTCAGTAACAGCCTAGGCAAGGACGCCACAATTCACGAATGCACCACAGGAGCATACAACACATCTATCTCCCAGATGATCCATGGCATCAGATGACATTTCACTTTCGTCACAGCAATGCTCATCTGACGACGGCGAGGTCACCAACAACTAACTCAATGCTCATGCAGCTAGTGAAGAATGCCAAGAAGCAGACTGTTCGTCTATCTCCTAGATATTCCATGGCATCAGACGATATTTCACTTTCGTCACAGCAATGCTAATCTGACGATGGCGAGGTCACCAACAACTAACTCAATGCTCATGCAGCTAGTGACGAATGTCAACCAGCAGCGTATTCGTCTATCTCCTAGATGTTTCGTGGCATCACAGGGCATTTCACTTTCGTCATAGCAATGCTAATCTGACGACAGCGAGATCACCAACAACTAACTCAATGATCATGCAGCTAGTAAAGAATGCCAACTAACCAACTATTCGCCTATCTCCTAGATGTTCCATGACATCCGAGGGCACTTCATTTTTCCTAAAGTCACTATATCAAGATGTTGAAATTCAAGCATTCTACCGCTATGTTGCGTATAGAGCGGATATTTCGAAAATCTTGATATAGTGGTTTTAGGTCGGTTTGAAACTAAAAATAAACATCACCACTCGACTCAGCGCGACCGATTACCCCTATCTTGACCCATTTTAGGATCAACCAAGGTCAACTGTCCGAAATCGCGGCTCTCGGAAAAATGCGTACAGCTCCTGAATCGTAAGAAACAGACAGTTAAGATCGGCCTGAAATTGTAGATCTCGATCCGAGCTATCCATTGCACTGTTTGAAAATCAAAATCCATCGTACGGTCAAGGAACGGCGGTCTCATAGACCTTGCATCGAAAGGCTTGCCACGGTAAACCGTATGTCTCTAGTTCTTTCCCTTCAAAAGTTATTAGCAATATACCCAGTCGCCTTTCTTTTTTAAAACGGTAATATTTTCTAACATTCTAATTTAAGCTAACAGTAACACAAACATTTAAGAACCGAGTCATAATAAACAGAGTTAGAAAATATCGACTTTGTATGAGAAAAATGTCTTGGTGCTGTATGGAATTGAAACACGAAATACCTTTTACTCACTGTAATCGAATGAATATTTTATTCTTTTAAACACACATGAGTCAGGCACTTTAACTCACTCTGTTTCTTATTCTTCTATCTACGACCACCGGATGACTTCGAAATGGATGATATTACCAGTCCACCAACAGAGGCCAGAAATGCTCGATTTCCAAAACGAAACTCACCGCCTCATCCATCATTACGACCGCAAATTAATAACTAGAGTCATCGAAGAACATAATCAACACACAATATTGAAAAACAATCAAATGGAAATAATACTAGGCAAGTACAAAAAATTAATAGTAAATATAAGTATGTCATCCTTTCGACTGTCATGTACGACTCTTCTACTATCGAATCATCTTTTCTCTAATCAGCCAAGTTTTAGAATTAATTTCCGTATACTTATGAGAATGGTTTATTGATGTAAGTGATGATTGATATTATTCATTAAAGGTTTTAGTGAAAAGATTAGTAGAGACTGAACAGTTCGGGTGAGAATCATAACATCATCAAAATCAGAAGAATTGGCTCTTCATTTCTTGTGAGTGCGTTTCTAAAAATGATTGAATCAGCTATTAAAACAATTGATTTATCATTATTATCATTAAATGATAAACGTTTTCTTCAATTTTTAATTGAATACTTACAACCACAATAAGATATTCGTGTATATTTGTTAACAACAGATGAATATTAAACAATCATATATTAAATTTATTCAATATGGCTCATTAATAAAACAAAAAAATGTTCAGTTTCATTTTTTTGATATTTTCAACGCTTTTCACAAAAATATGTTAAGTTGTGATGAAGAAATGTTGTTTTTTGGACCCTATAATGTATCACATGAATCATTTGAAAAAATTTGTAATAAAAATGGTCAGGTTGTGAGTGCTATAAAACATTTTAATATGATATGGTCATTGCATGAAAACAATCGGTGACAGAAGGTAAAATTATTTAATTGCTACATACCTTGGCGGGAATTGCATGTGTATATGCCACAGTACATCAATTTCCAATATTGGTACGCATATCTCTGACCGATTGAGGTTGGTCAAGCGCAAAAATCCGACATAATCACTATGAGCACAAATGAAGTCTTTATCATCGACGCATAATTTTGTTGTGGCAATGGCATATTATTATCGATGAACGAATGTTGTTGTTGCAACAACAGCAAGCTCAATCGATGGTTTTAATCAATCTTTTTTCGATGTTTGTAAACAATAAACTCACTGGAATGGGTTCGGAAGAAGAAATTATTCAGTCCGAAAGTCATTTGAATTTATTAATAACTTTCCCCAAATGAGCTGATGACGCTTCCGAGCTCGAAAAAGCTACATGACAGTTAGAAATCAATAGGTTTTCGAAACTCATTTCGAAATGTATAAGGATTATTTAATCCTAGCCAAAAGTATATTCCTAAATCCAAAGGGTGATTAAATAAAGGTTGATTGCTAAATTCAAATTTTCGGACTGGATGATTTCTTCTTCCGAACCCATTTTAGTGAGTTTATTAATCAGCGTTCTTTTTAGAGAGCATCGAAAAAAGATTGATTAAAACCATCGATTAAGCTTGCTGCTATTGCAACAACAACATTCGTTCGTCGATAATAATATGCCATTGCCACAACAAAAATTATGCATCGATGAGAACGACTTCATTTGTGCTCAAGATCATTATGTCACATTTTTGCAGCACATCGCAACCGACTCTTAAACGCAATGAATTTCGCTGCTACCTAGAGTATGTCTAATCAGTCCAATTGTCTGACGGACATCATCTAGGAAATTCAGACTGCTTTTGGTAAACAGGATGAGATTGACGGACAGTACGTGAGGTTGGGGAGAAAGAAAAGAAATCAACGAATTCTGACAAACATACTTTTGCAGAAGAAGCAAAGTTTATTATGCATAATGACAAAACATCGTGTTGGTCTAGAGCGGGTCCAAAAATTATTAGTCTAGCTTTAGCTTTCGTTTTTCTCGTCGACCATAGTAGCTAGAACAAATTTGAAGAAAGATTTGAACAATTGAAAGAATTTTCAATCTGACGCAGCGTATACGAAGGGTCCATCGAAACTTCTGAAACCAAGGTCTCTCGAAAATCAAAATCTCAGGAAACACAACTGTTTCATGACAAAATATCACAGAGAGCTCGAAAATGTCTCATTTTGTTCAGAAATGTTTGCTCTATATGACGGAGCTATTTGCGAAGAATTTCTAGTTAGAACTCGGGGATCCGGTTTTCTGAGATTTGGGTTTTCCCGAGATACTGGTTTCAGAAGTTTCGATGGAACCATTATATACGCCACATCAGATTGAAAATTCTATCAACTGTTCAAAGAAAAATGAAAGCTAAAGGTGGGCTAATAATTTTTGGATCCCCTATAAATCATCCTTTATAGTTGACTATACCGTCTGAGATTTTTTCCTGTTTCCCCTTTTATTGATATGACAGACAAATGTTC